TACACTCATACCCCAATCCAGATTCTCCAGAGATTATTATTTTCTCGTAGGTCATCATGTTTATTTCCACTGGAGAGCTCTCATTTGGTTCAGAAAACAGAAGAAGCGCCAGCAGTTATACCGTATGAGCAGCAAAGAAAAGCAGAAGACCAAAGATGTTTGCTGGAAGCGGTAACATGCGCCACACGCCAACATTAATGCTGTTTTATTAAAGACAATTAGGAATCATTTTATCGGAAAGTAAAAATGACAGTTGTGTAGCACTAAGAACATTTTCTCTGTATCATTAGTTATGACCTGTGATCAATATTTGATCTCGTAACAGAAAAGTGTGTGTTGTGTAGTTGGCCCGTATAGAACAGGACCTGAAGGAAAGCATTCGAAGAGAGGAGAAGAGACAACAGGAACTAAACCAAGTTAGACGAGAAGAGAATCGGATCCGCTGGAGAAGTCTGTCATTCCTCAGCCTCAACCAGCGAACAGCAAAGTATGAACTTGACCCATTCCCTCCAAAACACACACCCCATCAAGAAGCTTTCATGGCAAATATAGACTAATATGCTGATGATGAATAGCGTGCTGCTGTGGTTTAAGGGGTTTAATACCCCAAAGAGTCAGAAAACATCAATATCATTCCCTTGAGCAACACCCCTAAACTCACATTTTGTGAAAGTGAGCATTGTTGAAGCACACTTATTTCCCATGATGCCTGAAAACGTCTGCTGATTTATTCTCTCTGTTTCTTTCGAGGCCCTGGGTGACAAGCTACTATAAGAACATACCGATGCACATCTATTGCCTTCCAATAGAGACTGTTGTCCGAAGACAGACCAAGAAGAGGGCGAAAAGATGAGGAAATTATGCTTTTACAACCAACTGTCACAAACGGAAAGAAAATCAGAGAATGAAAGGAAAGAAATGCTCATTTTAAAGGGCCATTGAATGTCATTATTGTTATTATGTTTCAACAAATCAGACTGTTGAAACTATTTATAATCTAGTAGTGCATGTGGAATGTGAAAGGGCTTAAATACGATCCCAGCACTGTTTAATAAACATTCAGGGTTCAGGCTGCAGGATTGCCGAAACCTTGTAAAACTGAACATTTCTTTATTATTACCATCCACTACTTCTTGTACCAATGATGCAGTTAATATAGAGCTGGAACTTTATAAAGGGAAAGAGAGAAAGAGATGTCACAGAACACTTGAGTCTGGCCTGTGGCTTTACCAAAGCGAAGCTCCGGTAGAGAGAAAAAGAGGAAAAAGCCCCGTTACACAATCATTTTATCCCGTCCTTGACCATGTGACTAAAAACACATGTGAGGCTTTCTGACCAATCATCTGATTACAGCTTCCCCTATACCGTACTAAAGGTGTGATTTGAAACCCAGGCCTGTCAATTTTACATTTCAAAGGAATACAAACAAAAATACAATTTTTGGAAATCTTGTGGCACTTGCGATCAATAAATTTTGGCACTTCTCAAACACTAAAAGTTCCTTAATGTACTTAAAAAAATATCAAATTCAGTGTGATGATGTATACTATGAACACAATATGCTAAACGGTACAGCATTTTCTGTATAATCGTTTTCTATGGAAAAACGTTTAATGAGAAAAAGCACATTGTGTTTATATTCTGGATTCATCTGCTTTCTGTATATATGCTTCATCAATCCATACCCGTCTTATATTATCGCTTTCTTACAACATTAGTAGTACAAACCTGGTAAAAATGACAAACATTTTATTTTTATGTAATTTGGTGTGTGGTCAGCATGTTACATCTCTTAGTCCCCTTTTACAGAATAGAGAAACATGACACAAGAAATGAGCAAGACACATGTGGGTATACTATTATAGGGATTCACCCTCATGGAAAGACAGGTACCGTGTCCAAGAGCCACATAATTAAGGCAAATAAGAGGACAGCAATGATGTCATAAGAGTATTAAAATGCTCCGGTTCACTCTCAGAAAAAAGGTACAAAAGCTGTCACTGGGTAAACTTTTGTCCATTTTAGGTGCTAAGTACAATTTTAGGTGTTAATATGTACATTTTAGGTGCTAATATGTACATTTTAGATGCTAATAAGTACATTTTAGGTGTTAATTGTACATTTTAGGTCCTAATATACATTTTAGGTCTTAATATGTACATTTCAGGAGCTATGTACATTTCAGGAGCTATAATATGTCCATTATGGTCCTAATATGTACATTTTAGGTGCTAATAAGTACATTTTAGGTGTTAATATGTACATTTCAGGAGCTAATATGTACATTTCAGGAGCTAATATGTCGATTTTAGGTCCTAATATGTACATTTTAGGTCTTAATATGTACATTTCAGGAGCTAATATGTCCATTATGGTCCTAATATGTATATTTTAGGTGCTAATATGTCCATTTTAGGTCCTAATATGTACATTTTAGGTGCTAATATGTACATTTTAAGTGTTAATATGTACATTTCAGGAGCTAATATGTACATTTTAGGTGTTAATATGTACATTTTAGGTGCTAAAATAACCACTAAGGTAACAATATGCATCCTTTGGGTCCAAAAGTGTACCTTTTGAAAAGGTACAGCCCCAGTGACAACTTTTGTACCTTTTTTTCTGAGATTGTAAGAATAAATGTAGTGCAGTTCCTCAGTTTGTCCATTGGGATGTTTGTCTGTCTACTATTGAACCACAAACCTGCAATCCAGCACTGACATCACGATATGAAATGGATTTACTACTATTTTACTGCAAGTGTAATCTGATCAATCTGACACTACTTAAAAGGATAAGCAGAGCCTGACTCCACCCACTAGCAATATTTAAAAAATGCTGGAAAAGTGGGCAGAGCCCAGTGGAGGGGGGCGTGCACCTGAGACAGGTCTCTCTTTAGGCAAGGGCGATGTTAGCTGGTGCCTGCTTACATCACAGGGCACCACAACTTACAATAGGAAAATTCAACTGAAGAAGCCACCCTTCAACCTGAAGGGGGCAGCACTCAGACATTTTTACATCATATATTGTAGAATTAAAACACTTTAAAGGTGGAATACCTAAGATTTTTGCATTAAAATATCCCAAAATCACAAGGCCAGTGTTATATATTTAGTTAAGATGATAACTTACAATATTCCAAATGTTTCAAACAATCGCGAGAAAATTGAGATTTTAACCAAGGAAACGAGGCGTGTGAGCAGGGCTGAGCTGGGAGTCGCCAGTCAATCGCGTCATATCCGCGTTACCTCGGTTTCCGCTCGTACTACGTGTGTCCTGGACAAATGCGGAAGTTGTAGTTGTGCGTTAGCGTCTATCAAGCAACAAACATCTGCTTGTTTCGCGCATTTGTTATGGAATGGAGCACAATTATTCTTTAGCGATTGCACCTGGTTCTGTCTACAAAGACAACTCTCATTAACGCAAACGTTAACGAACGGGCCAACCAAACGACCCAAGAAGAATTTGGGACAAGAGAAATAAAACCAGCTCAACATCGGTGTGGCATTTCCTAAATGGAGAGAACTTCGTGAAAAACTCTAACTAGAAAGAGTCGCCGATCTTGCATGTGTTTTACTTGACAGGTGAGTAACACCGTGTTCTGTATTCAAATTTCATGTCAGTAAACGATGCAAAACAATTAGTATTATTGTTAGAATGTCTTGTTGTCTATGAATATGATGTGAAAAATCGTAAGGTCATATTACCGCGAATACTTCTCGGATTGTAAACTGTTGGCTGTATCTTAGAAAACGACGTTTATCTGAAAAGTGTTTCAACCGTCCCGGCTCTCCCCTAACATCTGTGATAATAACTAATTTACTTTTAAACTTTATTTTCTTGCGGTTATTTCAGTTTAATGAAAAACAAGCATGTCATTAAACACAACAGTTATAGAAATCGAACTTTACCTCATCCATAACAACTAATTTTCGATTCCCGTCTGACTGATTTATCCACGGTGGAGTTGAAAACAACAGTTCCCATCATTCTGCGTTCCTCCACGGCGTCATTAAGCAAAGCCATTGTTGTTGTTTTGAATGTAGCGCCCTCTAGCGGCATAAAATCTTAGGCATTGTAGCTTTAAGAACAAATGTCAAAAAATTTACTTGATTCAATGAACAGCATTTATAAAGCCCCAGTCTTACAGATGATTAAAAAAGAGTTGTTTTAGGGTTTAGTTGCCCTTTAAACAGACACAATGCAATACAACAAGAGATTTTATTTTCTTGCATCATTCCAGTTTTTTTTTTTTTTTTTTTTTTTTTTTACAGTTGTTCTCACAAGGTGTTGTTGCCTGACTTCGTCATACTCATATTCAAGAGAGAATATGAGTCTGAAAACGCAACGTTGGGCTTTGATTATGAGGCGTGTCGTAACCGAACCAGGGAAAAAAAAAAACTCTGCACTCAATTGGATAGTTGGTAGACCTACAACCAATCAGAGCAACGCAGTAAGTCAACTTCTTTGCATAGTGCAGTTTTCAAATACAGAACGTAGCCTAACTTTATTTATTTTAGAAGTTAAATAACGAGTGTTGCTTCTTTTACTTGGTCCTCCATGAGTGCCACCAAAGGAGAAACCACGACGACCACAGGTTTTTCATTATGCCCCATCTTCTTAACGACCGTCAGAGCCAGCTGATAAGTTACACTTTTCCCGAATCATGTACAGATCTTGCATCTCATTTACATTTGGTCATAGAATATCATCAACATCACAGCATATATTGTCACGAGTCATGAATCGATTCGCGGGGAAAAAAGCAATGCTGGATCCATCCTTGTGCCACGGCTTCTCTCCCATCGCTTGAGTTACACACGTGATCACATGATCCCATCTCCAAGAGGAGAACATGCTGGAATGTGGGAGATGCTCAAACCACACTTGCACCAGTGCTGAAAGGGGAAATTGGAAATTGTCCCACAATGGCAGAACTTCACTCAATTTGCTCCTGATCAAACTGTATAAAGTGGGTTTTATTGAGAGAGTTTAAAAAAATGTTGAAGCTTTTCTGTGTTGTGCAGACCCAAGACACCAGGACAGAGGAGGGTCACGTAAGACATCTTAAAACACTTGAGGAGGAATCCTTGGCCATTTTTTTTGGCGTTAAGAGAACTTGTGTTTTGTCCGAAAAACTTGCTCATTTTAATGTCACTAGTAAGTCGAAGCACGAACGCCATTCATACAGTTCAGAAGTTGGCGCGTCATTCGTGGCTCGACTTGTCGACACTGTTTTCTAAGATGGCTCCTGTCTGTATACACGAAGTGGACTGTCTTTATAAAGTATCTTCTTATTAAACGGTCTGTACACTTGTTCTCAATGCTTCGTTTTGCATGTATGGACCCTCATGTTATAGTGTGGGGCTATTTTGAGCCTTGTTAGTGGTATTAACTAGCGATTTCTTTTTACTTAGTAAATAAATGCGCTGGCATTTGAAAAAAACTAAAACACAAGACTACGTCTGGAATTATACATGTAAATACATTTAAAATGGTTAAGTCTTAGCCTACTTACAGGTTGTGGCCCAACAACTGCTGCCTCTGGTTTTAAAGTTGGATCTGCTTCATGTTTTAGTAACAGTTTCTTGTTGAATCCGGCATTGAACTGGTGGATATTCTGGAAAAGCGCCTGTGCCGGACAGATCCGCCAGATCCTCAGAGGGAGCGCCTGTGCCGGACAGATCCGCCAGATCCTCAGAGGGAGCGCCCGTGCCGGACAGATCCGCCAGATCCTCAGAGGGAGCGCCCGTGCGGGACTGATCCGCCAGATCCTCAGAGGGAGCGCCTGTGCCGGACAGATCCGCCAGATCCTCAGAGGGAGCGCCCGTGCCGGACAGATCCGCCAGATCCTCAGAGGGAGCGCCCGTGCGGGACAGATCCGCCAGATCCTCAGAGGGAGCGCCTGTGCCGGACAGATCCGCCAGATCCTCAGAGGGAGCGCCCGTGCCCGACAGATCCGCCAGATCCTCAGAGGGAGCGCCTGTGCCGGAAAGATCCGCCAGATCCTCAGAGGGAGCGCCTGTGCCGGACACATCCGCCAGATCCTCAGAGGGAGCGCCTGTGCCGGACAGATCCGCCAGATCCTCAGAGGGAGCGCCTGTGCCGGACAGATCCGCCAGATCCTCAGAGGGAGCGCCTGTGCCGGACAGATCCGCCAGATCCTCAGAGGGAGCGCCTGTGCCGGACACATCCGCCAGATCCTCAGAGGGAGCGCCTGTGCCGGACAGATCCGCCAGATCCTCAGAGGGAGCGCCTGTGCCGGACAGATCCGCCAGATCCTCAGAGGGAGCGCCTGTGCCGGACAGATCCGCCAGATCCTCAGAGGGAGCGCCTGTGCCTGCTTGGTTCCCAAAGGAAGCTCCTGTCCCCAGAGGGTCCCAACAAAGAGGAAAACTCAGGATCCCTCTGCATTTGACGAAACATCTTATACAGGCCTCTTTAGAAACACCCATGCCCATCCAGTCTCCACAGAGGGAACCAGTGTCTGCCTCAAAGGTGTTCACACACTCCTCACATGGAGCATCCATGCAGGACAAGATAGGAGCTCGTCCCAAAGTAAAGATCCCTGAGCCTGAGATAGCGCCTCTGTCTTGTTCTCAGGCAGATCTTGTTGTTAAAAAGATCTCCGAGAGGAGAGATGCTGAAATCCCTGAGCTGCGGAGGCAAAATACCCATAACGCACCAGAGCCCGATTCTTCTGCAAAACTGAGGATCCCGAAGCAGAGGGAGAAGTTGAGGGATTGGTGGGAGCATCAGCAGAGGCAGAAGAACATCCAAAAGGGAGTGTCTGTAAGTCCCTTATATTATATATATCACAACCGAGCCGGAGAACTGGAACAGACTCTAGCCCAGGTCCCAGCCGACCCGTAAAAGAGCATTGATTAGACCCTCCTATCTCTCAATTTTACTAAGATTTAGAAACTAAATACTTCATTAATTTAATCTGGGATGCACATCATTTCCTTTTCAATTCAGACCCCTCATATCGAAATGGTAGAAGCAACTTTTCTTTAGATTTTCTGTAAGAATCCCTCATTAAATCTGGTCAGCGTTACATGATTATGTCTGTTCCTTCAACAGGACAGTGCCGGAGTGGACAGGTCAGCCTCACAAAACAAGCAGCGGATGGCGATCCAAGTCAACGACCGACAGTCGGATCCAGGCGGCGCAGACCAAATGGATTATTTATGTTGCTTATTTGCAAAATGTTTTGTCATTTAAAATATTTAATTTTTATTTTGTTAAACGTGTGAGTCTTATAATAATATATATATATATATATATATATATATATATATATATATATATATATATATAAACATACTGTGTATTTATTTATTTGTCAATGACAACACACATTAATTATCATCTGCTGTCACTGGGCTGATTAAATTCACACACCAAGCCAGGGACGGACTGGGACTAAAAAACGGCCCAACAATAACGCCTGTCGCCTGGCATGAGCGTCACATGACTTTAATTGTGGCTAGTGATACTATACCATCCAAATGATAGCTAACAGCATATTCTACAATCTATTCCATACTGTCTTAAAATTAATTTATTACTTAATCTTAATTAATGTATGCAGTAATTAATCTTAGCTACTGCACAAATAATAATACCACATCTAAACTAAAATAGGCTACACCATTATAAATGTAACTTCTGTATTCAAAATCTTCAAAGTTTGTAAGCATTAACTGTAACGTTAAACATTTTTTAAAAGTAAAAGCTCAACATATTTCCTAATATTAGCGACTGCATGTGGCATTTTACAGCTAAAATGTTGAAGTTTAGCTATACTGTAATCATTAAAAATGTAGCAAACTGAATATCACTTCCTAACATCACCCCTAGCAAGTAACTTGCAAAGTCATTTCTGATTAATTCTGTTCGGGAGTAGTGGAGATAAAAGCCCGCCCGCACTGAGAATTGATTGGTTGGGTCCTTACAAGATAGCATAAATCATTTGGCCCAGATCTGGGCCAAACACGTCGTAAATTCTCTGTCTTTTGTCACAACGAGCCAATACCGGCACGGCTCCGTTTTCTCCTCATCTGGACCAGAACTGGGCCAGCTCCGGATTCCTTCATGGTGATTTGGCTCAAATTTGGGCCAGATCTGGTCCAGCTCTGTTTTGGATCTGGTCCAGAATCATGCCGGATCAGGGCTAGCTCATTTTGTAGACCGTACACACACACACACACACACTCGCTCTCTCTCGAAGAAGTACACATATCTAGAATTTCAAGAATCTTCTCACATGATCTAATATCTTATAGTCTTATGCCACTGATATTTTTTTCTGTTAGGTTTTAACATTAAATGCTTAGGCAATAAAAAGTTGATCAATTAATCAATCAATCAATCAATCAAAACTTTATTGCAGACTCAAAGTCCATTTTAAAAGAAAGAAAGAAAGAGAAAAACAAAAAAAAAACAAAAAAAAAAAAAGGCGTTGCCTTTCAATATCGTCATCATCTGTCATGTGCTCAGTAATAATAAGTCCAATATATTTCACTTTCTCGCACACCGTGAGATTCTGTTTAGACAACTTAAACACTGGAAATTTTATACTTTTATCCTCCTTAGTTTTGCAGACCATAACCATACTCTTATCAGGATTATATACAATATCATGTTCAAGACCATAATCAGAACACACATTTAAAAGATGTTGAAGCCCAGCACTGCTTGGACTAAACACCACAAGATCATCCACAATATGATTCACTAACTTAGTCCCATTCATACAACCAGTTTTACAACCATTCAAACGTTCAGACAGCTCATCCATATAAAGGTTAAACAAAATTGGGGACAAAATCCCTCCTTGTCTCACCCCGTTACTGACCCCAAAGGGGGCAGAGACCTTATTGCCCCATTTAACTTGCAACAACTGGTGGGCATACCAACAGGCCAAGATTCTCAAAATGTATTCTGGAACCCCTCTTTGTCTCATTTTAGAAAATAGCTTAGCATGGTTAACCCGATCAAAAGCTTTAGACGCATCAATGAAACACATAAAAACTGTTAAGTTTTTATCTTTGTACTTATTTACAATTTCCTTCAATGCATAAATGCAAAGATCAGTTCCATGTTTTGCCTTAAATCCAAACTGGTTGTCTTTACAATTAATAAACACATTTAGCCTATCAAGCAAGATTTTTTCTAAGACTTTAGACAAAATACTAGCTAAAGCTACAGGTCTATAATTATTTAAGTTACCCACCATTCCAGCTTTGTTTTTAATAACTGGTACTAATAAGACAGACAACATTGAATCTGGTAACACATTGTGACTCAGAAGAGCAGTAAGACAACTCGCTAATAAAGGGGGTATCTTCTTACTTCCATATTTAAGATGTTCAGCAGAAATATTATCTGAGCCACTTGCTTTATTTTGGGGCAAGTTGCTTATAGCTTGATCCACCTCACATGGCATAATCACAATTGGATCGTTAACTTGATGGTCACCCCCATGATATTCGTTTTGGATGCAATTAAAAAGCCTACAATAATGTTGTCTCCATAATGCTGCAATATTCTCTGCCCCAGAAACTCCATCCAAGGTACAAGGAAGAGACACTCTGCAACTATTGAGAGTTCTGACTTCTTTCCAAAAGTTAGTGATATTATGATTTAGGAGCTTCATAGCGATGGAATCGGCCCTTAAAGTGTGGCCATTTTTGCAAATAAAACGAATGGCATACTTATATTTTGCATTTGTTGACTTCTTCTGCTGAAACTCCGGCCCTTGCCTGGGTCTACCTGCCATCACCCATAATTTATTTAACTAGATTTCCTCCGGCCAGTTTACCTGCCAGATATAACCTACGTCGCAAACCATTTATATAATCAAGGAGATTTACAGCCATTTCAGGTCCAGTCACGTTATCCTTCGAGAGAGACAACGGACCTCTTACCTGGTGACCGAACACCAAATCGTTAGGGCTAAATCCAAGGCTCTCTTGAACAACCTCACGTGCGGCTAGCATCAACCAAGGAAGCCCCTCCTCCCAGTCTTTATTCAGTTCGTTACAATACGCCCTCAACAACTGTTTTAGCGTTTGATGAAATCTCTCAAGAGCTCCTTGGCTTTCAGGATGATACGCACTACTCTTATGATGTTTCACACGCAGTTGTTCTGCTCGAACATGCGAGATGTAAAGTTGGTTCCCCTATCAGTTTGAATAATTTTTGGAATGATAATAAATTGGGACAGAGCTTTTACCACAGACCTTGTGGAAATTGTTCGTAGAGGATAGGCAGCGGGATATCGAGTGGTCTGACACATGACAGTTAACAGGTAGCTGGAACCTGCCTTGGACGGTTTTAACGGCCCCACACAGTCAATAGTAAGATACTCAAAGGGATTTCTCACCGCAGGAATGGGAAACAACGGTGCCGGAGCCAAAACTTCATTCAGTTTACCTACCATTTGACAAGTGTGGCATGTCTTAATAAAACTCGCCACATCTCTTTTTAATCTAGGCCAGAAAAAATAGCGCATTACACTATTATACGTTTTCTTGACCCCTAAATGCCCAGCTATATCCCCGTGAGCCGTTCTCAACACCAAATCACGCAACTCCTCCGGAACAATAATCTGATATACAGGTTTGCCCAAAGCACGATCATTACAAGGCGTCCACTTACGGACTAAAATGCCATCACTCAAAAAATAACCAGAAGCCATACTTTCAATTTCGGTAGCAGATTTAACCGACGCAAACAGTGTTGTCAACCCGGCATCTTTTCCCTGAGCCAAAATTAGGTCATCACGGGAAATCGAAGGTGGCAACAAAGATAAATTACCCAAAGGATTGAAAGAAGAATTTTCTATTTTTTCACTGCTCTGGGACACATTCATTTCAGTATTCATAGCTCGAGTGACTGCACAGGAAACAAAAACATCGGGAAACTCCTGGACACTCTTATCTAACTCTAAAGATAATTTTGGATTAGCCTTCACAATGGGAGGTACCACCCCACCCCACACACGATTTCCGGCCAAATTATTTCCTAAAATTACATCTACCCCTTCCACAGGTAAGGAAGGACGTAATGCAATTTCAACTTCCCCGCGCACCAACTCCGAATCAAACCAAATTCTGTGTAACGGAGAAGAGAGTATTTCCAGCCCAATACCCTGAATCAGAACACTATTTCCTGTACTGGACCCAGAAGAAAAATTCAACTTCGATTCTACAATGAAGGATTCAGAAGATCCTGTGTCACGCAGAATTCTTACAGGCACTTTAACTGAGCCACCAACTAACGAAACATACCCCGCGGTAATAAAAGGACCATAATCCGACTGGGACCCGCCAACCTTATCTGTGTTTTTATCTTTCCTTAATAAACCCATAATGGAACCCATAATGGTTCACACGCAGTAAATGCTGACGCAAGCCCCACAGCTTTTGCACTGGTCTTATACATGCCTTTCAGCACCGGGCATTCCTTTCTCCAGTGACCCCTCCAGTGACTTCGGTCTATCTTGATGTTCAAAATGATAATCTCTTTGGTAAACTGAATTTTTATGAATCAATACAAATTCATCCGCTAAAACTGCAGCTTCTGCCGCGGTTTTCACCTTTTGCTCATTTAAATACGTCACTATCTGCTCAGGAATAATATTCTTGACCTGCTCCAAGACTATCAAATCACAAAGACTCTCAAAAGAATCTATTCCTAAAGTTGCGCACCAACGGTTAAAGTGGTTCATGATCTCTCGCACCACTTCCACATGCGTTTGCCGGTCTCCTTTTTTCCATCCCCTAAACCTCCAACGATAAGCCTCGGGACAAGTTCGTAAGCTTTTAAAACTGCGTCTTTCACGACCTGATAATCTTTTCGCCCTGCTGCTGATAGTGAAATAAAAGCTTCTTGAGCTTTGCCCTCAAGAACGCTTCGCAGCAAAAGAGTTCGTTCTGCATCATTCCATCCTCTATCCTCAGCAACGCTTTCAAACAATGAAAAAAAAAAACTTCTAGATTTTTTTCGTTAAATCTAGGGAACAACTTGGTCATATTTGCAATATTTAATGTTCTACTTAAACCAAATTGACCATCAGAGTCGCCACTACTCCCATTCTCTCTTCAGCAACCAATCTTAACCGTTCGGTTTCTTGAGCCAACTTAGCCTCCTGTATTTGTTTCTCATACTTAAATTTCTTAAACTCCCCATCACGCTCTCGTTCCTCAATTTTCAGTTTTTCCAATTCAAGCTGTCTGTCCAGATCACGT